TGTGTTTTGTAGCTCTATACACAAGTTCACAATCATAAGAAACTGACAAATCCTCTATTGCTGATGCAGTATGAGACTCTCAACGTGCATGGAAAAGTTCGGAGGATAATCCGCTGTTTAAATACTCTTTAATCATCATCATTGTGAATAGAACTTACTGGCACAGGGATTCATGATTCCTCTTAAGTATTCTTACATGCACACATCACCCTTCCAGCACCTGTGGGGTGGGGTACCAAAAACTTTCTGCCATGTCTACCCTGGTGCCGACCACACTCACCTGGGACAGCCATCCTGATTTGTGGTCATGATGTTATTGGGCCGGTTAGATGTGGTTGCAATTTCAATACCACTTGCACCTACGAAAGTTTCAAGGCAGACATACGGCTTCATTTCTAATGGGTGCCTGTACCGTAACTTTCTGCAACTTTTTGAGGTGAGTGAGACGGGGTTTGTGCTGCTTGTCCTCCCAGATGGCAATAATGTGGTGACAATGGGGAAGCATCTCAGAACTAATAAAGCAGAATTGATGTGTGGGCAGTCCAGTATAAATCCACCACTATTACTGTAGTGGTGACATGCGGCTGAATACACTCACAAAAAGCACCACTAGTCTGGAAGGGCCCCAAGACGGGACCATTGTGACGAAACTCAACTCCCCTTCCCCTCCTCTCTGACTCTTCCATAGCTGACCATCTACTCTTCCAATCAATTAGCCTTGTAGGCCTGCTGTCAGCCAAATCACAGCAACACCCATAGTGACTCTATGATGGCCAGCTTCAAACCAGGCACTCTGAGCACTTCCTTAGATTCAGATGGAAGGTGGTTGTGTGGGCAATGACAGAACAAAGCTGCCTGTCTGGGAACCCTGTCCTGGCGCCTGAAGACAGCGATGGATGAAGGACTATCTTGCCTTGACTTAGCAAAGTGTCACATTGTTTGGAGACTAAGGGCTGCATTACACAAAATGATGTTTTCAACAGAGAAGTTATGGACGTCTCCTGCAATATACATGTTACATGCAGCAAACATTCACAGACATATATGTGTTTGTCCCTGAGCGAACTAGATGCTGGATTCCTGCAAGGTCTGACTTCCATGTAGGAAATCTAATTCATGCACAGAGGCCATAAGAGGGCCCACAGCTGGCCCAAGACAATTTGGCGCCTGAGGCAAGCCACCAAAGGGTCTCCTTCCCACTATGGAAGAAGGGGTGAGTGAAGATCTACACCAGGAACAAAGGAATAATGAATATCTACATCAGGATCTGCTGCCCCCATGGAGCCTGCCACCTGAGAGGGCCCCTGCTGAGGCGTCATTGCCGCTTTTTCTTCACCAAGAAATTATGAAACCCTCAGAATGTTGAAAGGGGACGTTGTGTTCCACGCAGCACTTCTGAGAAGGTTACCCAATGGCTCAGCAGCCTCTAACATGCTGTATGGGAAGAGGGTTGAAAAAGGCTGAGTGGGTTTAAAAAGCACACACCAACAAGTTTAGCCTTTGCTTTCTGAGGGGGGGGGTACTACTAGGTCCCCCAAGAAAGCAAGAACCACAGAAGAGCCTGTTATCTCATTTCAGCTTGTGCACAGAAAGTTGGACTCAGGCTGTGAGATCATGTAAGTGCATTAGAACGGGCAGAGGGAATCTCTTCGTTTCATCCAGCATATTGTGTGTGGCAGGGACACAGTTAATCTGCGCCATAATAGATTTAACATCCAGAGTTCCTCATGGGAATTGAGATGCAGGCAGGAATTAGCTGAATATCACAGCCAGGAATAGACTCTACCCAGCTCTTTGCCCACCAGTGGGAAGTGGTACAGCAAGACAATAGGCAGATACCACACCCTCGTAAGGAAGAAAGGCAGGTGGTGATGGGGACCTTCTTTTTCCATGTGACATCGCCTGGCTAGCTGCCCAACTATGAGTTGCATGTGGAGCAGGAGAGGAAGTCTCTAGCAGCCACGATACCCCAATGTTTTCTGTTTTGCCTTGTTCCTATTGAGTAGTTAAGAGGATTGCGAGAGCAGGGAGAGAGATCTGATAAGGAGGCAAGGTTAGGGTAAATAAAAACATGAGCATGAGCAGGACAGGAAGGGCCTAGAACAAGTTTCCTGCTCTGGCAATGCTCAGTGCTCACCGGAGGAACTTGGCGACCGCTAACCTGGCATTCTCCAAGACGGCGCTGGTGTTGGCATATGGCTCTCTCATCTACTGGCTGAAACGCCATGACCTTTCTTTGAAGTGCAGCTTCAAGTGTTTACATATCCCAGAATTTCATATCCCAGAAAAGCAGCAGGACTGTTGGGGAGGGTGAAGAGATACGACAGGGAACGGAAGAGAAAACATTTCCTCCCATCTGCACAGCGTAGCTACTAGACAAATTCATGAAGAGTAAAGTTATTAATGGCTACTAGTTGTGATGGCTCTGTATTCCCTCCTCCAGTATCAGAGGTTGTATGTCTCCGGATTCCAGCTTCTGGGAAGCAACAGCAGGAGAGGGTGATGGGCACTCACATCCAAATTAGGGGCTTCCCAGAGGCATCTGGCTGGCTGCTGTGGGAAAGGGGATGTTGGACTAGAGGGGCCTTTGGCCTGATCCAGCAGGGCTATTTTTATGTTCTTACAGTCATGCTCTTAGAACAAAATCCACCTTGTGGGCCTCCCTTCCAAGCTCAAAGCAAAGCTGGTGACAAGGTTTGAGGGATGGGCAGGAGATTCAGTTGGAATCCAGAGGAGAAAGGCAATGGGAACACATTGTCAGGGTGGTCAGGACAAGAAGGCTCCTTGCTAGCTTCCTCTACTTAGGAGCATTCAGCACAAACAAAACAAGTCATGAAATACGTATGTTCAAACCACATTATAGATAGAACACAATGCTCCAGCTAGCTCCAAGCCACACTCCTGGTGGAGGGTGTAACTAATGCAGGATAGCCTTCCTGCTTGGGCGTGGGTAGAGATAGCTATGCTGCTGATCACAGTTTTAAATAAAGAATTGAGTTTTGTCAATTCTAGCTTTGTGCAGGGTTGGGGACCTTGCAGCCATAAATGAAATAAAAACTTGTAATAATAAATCTAAGTAGAGTGACACCCTGATTCAAATCTCACCTCTGCCATTAAGTCACTGCATGGCCTTTGGAAAATCTCTCTCCGTCTCATGACTTATCCTACAGGGTTGCTGTAAGGATTAAAACAACACGTGAATTTATATCACTGTATATGTTTGTGCTATATCTTCCTTTGCCTACATTTCTTCTTTGCTGCACTTCTTGCTTTGGCTTTTGTTTCCTTGTGGGGCCTAGTTTAAGCTCCTATAGTTTTTGTTTACAAATCTCTTTGTCCTTCCCTTTATCTACATCTTCTTCTCTTTCTGTCTATTTACACTCTCCATCACCTCTGCCCCAGTTTGCTTCCTCTATGTCACACTCTTCTTGTTCTTTCTCTCTGGCTGCCCCTTTTCTCTGACACTCACTGCCTCCCTCACATCTGCCATTTTCCTTTCTTGTTCTTGTTTACACTACATATGAAAATGCACCTCTTCCCTTGAGCCTTTGTCCTTCAGTCTCTGCCTCTCCTTTCCTCTCCCCCGTCATTCCTTTTCTGTTCTTTCACCTGTCCTCAAGGTGTTGACATGTAGATAATAAGCTTGATAGCAGGCAGAGCCCATTTCTTTCATACTGGGCAGGACCTAGCTTGTTGATGGACTTTATATACAATAAACATTATTAGTATTACATGAAAGGTGTGCCAACTCAGAAGCAGAACCTTTTTTTGAAGACAGAAAAAGAATACTCAGACAGCTGATGGACCTCCTGCCCTTTCCCACCACCTGTCCATGGCCATAAAACAATAGAAATACTTAACTAACTGACCAGTCACATTGGTTCTGCCCCCCCAAAAGTCCTGCCCCCCCAACAAAAATCCTGGCTACGCCCATGCACCTGTCTTTTAATCTTTGCCTATATCCTCACTGGTCCTCTGTCACCCTGGTGTGGTGTTGTGGTCCAATTACTTAGACATGAAGTTTGCTAAGTGATCTTGGGCCACCCATAGGCTGTGTACACACTACTGTTTACTCTGCATCCAGTGTGCCCCCCACCAGGAAGCATGGTACACATTAGCCATAATCCATATCTATCCCGAAACTACTTAGTAAATACTTTGATGCATTTCCCCCCAAACTAGCTTCGATCTGAATTGAGATAAAGAATGACCTAGCTGCGTTTTAAGCCCGTAACATGTACACAGCCATTGTCTCTCAGCCTAACCTACCTCACAGGTTTTTGCAAGGATAAAACGGACAGGGGTGAGAACTACGCATGGCACCTTGAGCTCCTTGGAGAAACAGTGGGGTATGAATGTTGTTATTGCTGGGAAGAGAGGGGGTGGGGGAATTGATTAGTGTAGCAATGGGACAGATGGCAGCGCCTTCTCTTGCCCAAGGTTGGAGACCTCCACTTCCAAGTCACGACCAGACAGCCCTTGTTATAGAGCCACAGGCTCCAGGTAGTATGGGATTCTTGCCTAAGAATCACAATGGAGGAAGATGAGCTTCCATGCAGCAGCACATTAGAAACACACTCCTAGCTCAGCAGTGCTGATACATATCTACCCTGCCAAAGGTCATTGCGGGAAGGGAAACTCAACTACTCTCTGGTGAAGGAACTTTTGGCTGCTTGAACTGCTCAGCATATGCAACTACCTCTCCTGCTCAGTTGAGAATTAATTCCAGCTCTTCCCACCCCCACTTTACCACCAGAACCCAGTCCTTTGCGGCACCATTAACGATAATGGCTCCATAGCTGCTGAGTGCTTTAATAATGGGATTGTGGTTGACTGTGGAAGGCCTCTAGGGTATGTTCCCAGCACCCACCCCTCCGCTCTCTGAAGAGGAAGCAGGATAAAATTTGCCAGTTCTTCAAATGCCCCTCAGCTCTGCCTCTTACTCCACATATACTGCAGCCTGAGCCATACAAAAAAATCTCAAAGTGACTTCTAGATCAATAAAAAACTCCATGTACAAATATTTAAAAATAAATACATACATAAAGAAAATACATAAATAACATACAATTTAAGAAGTTGTATTACACTTGTGGTTTAATATACTTGTGGTTGTGTTATTTTTTGTGACGACAGACTGCTCTGCTGTGATGATAGACTGCTCTGCCTCCTTTCTTTTAGCAAATGTTTTGTGCCACTGGGGAAGTGGTAATTCTGTATTGATTTGTTTGGATGTTGTATGTGATGCCAATAAAAGGTTTGATGATGATGATGTGTTATTTTTGTGCTTTGGAAATGAAGTCTCTCCATCAACAGTTCTCCATCAAGAACATGACAGGGTTTTGGGGAGTGCAGCTCTCTGGCCTTGTTCCCCCTAGCAGCAGGAGAGCAATGGCGAGCTTCCCAGGAGTTGTTAAAGGCTTTCCTGGAACTCAGAGTGACAGAAATTGGGCAAGCCCTTTCTCTCAATGACTCCTGCCTTCCTTCAATGGCACAGGGATTCCCTATGGCCATTGAGGAAGGGAAACAGGATAAGGCAAGAGGACATGTCTCCCACTTTCTCCATTTGTAGAACAAGTCCTAGTCTATAGATGGAGATTGTAGACTGAATTTAGTCTTCTAGGTGCTTGTAGGTATTAGGTTACTTCTAGGATTCTGGGATGAAGAAGCAATAAAAAGTTACTGTAAAAACAAAAAGTGCCTCATTCTGAATGTCAATTTTAAAAAATTTTAAATAGAGCATTTTTCCTCTCCAGATGAAGCAGTTTGGATTCAAAGTACAGCATCCCATGAAAAATGAAGCATTTCCCCTTCTGCAGATGCTTCCAAGGGGTTCTCTGTAGCCACAGATCAGTTACAACAAGCCTCTTAAAGACGAATGCCTCCAGTCAGCTGACTAATGCTGAAAGTGCATCTTCAAAGGAGGTTGTTGTAACCTCCAGTTAGCGGCTCAGCAGTTACAGTTACCTCCTTTGAACTTTGACAAGTGTCACTAACCTGATCTCTGGTGATTAACAAGTGGGTGGTCCTGACCATCTGTCAAAGCTGACCCATGTGGGTGAGGGATTTTTGAATTCACCCTGCGAACAGGATCCCATTCATTCCTGCCTTAAAGCAAGATAGAAAAAAGGTGCCATTTTATTTGGGAGCTTTTTCTCTTTACATCCATTTTAAGAAGATGCAATATGACACAGACTTCAAACCATATAAATCCTTTGCAATGGTATATGTGTTTATAAATGCCGTACATTTTTGTATTTTTTGCATTGTTACTGTATTTCACAATCTGTAACTATTGAAAATAACTAGTTTTACCAGCAAAATAGAAACATAACGAAAAACTAGTTATGTCTATTTGGACGAGGGCTTGCCTTCATTCTAAACTTACAGATTTAATACAAAAGCAGCATAATACTCCAGTACTTTCTTCTAACAAAGAATTGTCCCTCATAGGAGTGCCTATGGAGCTTCCCACTGCAGGAGTGGGGAAGCTGTGGCCTTCTTGATGCCATTGGATTCCAACTTCCATCAGCCCCTGTCAGCATGGCCAATGGTCGGAGGTGATGGGTCTTATAATCTGGCAACATCGGGGTGGGGGGATGGCAAATTCCCGACTCCTGGCCTATCTCTTGAGGAAGGGGGGAGCAGTGAGGAGTTGCTGCCTCCAGTCTAGTGCTACTGAGTACCATTTCTTCATGACCCAAAGAGAGCGCCATTTGCCTGGTCAGGAACACCAGTTTGAGAATAGTTCCTTTTTCTGAGACCTTGGCCTCCAGCTAAGTACACCAGCTAAGCACTCCTTAAGGCCCGCTCTCCTCTTGGCCCTCACCCTCTTGTTTTTTCCCTGGCCTTTTATTCATCTCCAGACAAAACACTCCTCCGCTTAGCAACTAAGGTTGCAGGCAGAATTGGTTTGTTTATATTATTAATAATAAACTGCCTCAGACACAAACCAAACAACATAATATGGTATTGGGTTCCAGGCCAGACCTCTATCACTACAGAATCAAAGTGGAAAGCAAATGCATTGGGGCGGGCAGGCAGTGATACTTTGCTTCATGAATCATTAAATCTTTACATTCCTGATGTTTAACCATTTCTCTCAAAACTGCTTGTGCTAAAGATTTGCCATGTAAGAGATTATTTACAACCACCACCAACCCCCACAGATTCTTGGCATACAGGTATTCCAAGAGGTAAGAACAAAACACAGACCCAGTTTACAGAGCTTCCCCACTAGGTTGCAAGACTGGCCCTATTGTTAGGCAGAGTGAGGTCAGGCAGCAGATGCTGAGAGGCAGGCAGCAGCAGTGAGATGTGGGGAGGTAGATCGGTGTGTGCCACCCCCTAAGCTAGCCCATCAGATGCTGTGGACAATGCTGTTCCATTACCAGTGTTGAATTAAGATTCAAATGCTAATCCAGTTCAATTCCATCCATGGATTGATGGGTGCCCTCCTTTACTACTGGAAGCAAAATGTTTTGGGCTAGGTACCCTTGAAGAAATTCCTGCTAACCACAGGTGACCTCTATTACCATGCCTTTCTTACGACGTCCAGAGGCATATATTATTGTCTCTTTTCACTGTTCATCAAACATGGTGACTTCTCTGATACCGAAAGCAAGTGCAATAGAGCAGGCACAACAAACCAAAGTGGGGGAAACCGTATTACCCACTCCCTCTTAAGACATCTCTTACACAGGGCTCATACACACACGTGTGTGTGTGTGTGTGAGAGAGAGAGAAAGAGAGAGAGAGAGAGAGAGCACTCACTGGTATGGAGTACTAGCACATCCATAAGCACTGCTTACACATATTTAACTGAATTACTCAAGATTAGATAACACAGCTGCTTGTATGAAGTTATTCTGCTGAAAGGCAAAGTGTGATATAAGGTGAAAATAAAGTTCTAGCTGTGGTATTAGGCAAGTCACCACTTGATGCTGCAATCCTCCAGGGGTGACCATGCATGCAGAAACCAGCTGGTTTCCAAAGTAGTCAATACTGACCCACTGGGATTGATGGGACTGTGCAGGGAGTGAATAAAGACCTGGGAATCAAAGCAGGCCTTGGGTGGAAAATAAATTTACAAGGTATAGTGCAAAAACACACACCAACAACTAGGAACTAGGAACCTTAGAAATAAAAGGCATGAACATGTACAGATGTGTATGGTATCATTATTATTTTCTCTTGGTTTTCTTCCTTGCTTTTTACATGTTATGGTTCCTAGGAATGGTAGTTGCTAATTAATAAATGCAGATTATATATTCCTGTTTATTGACTTTATTTCATTTACATTCCTAAGAATTTGGGTTGGGGTCAATTACAACTTTAAATAAACTCAGAAGTTTGGGAAACTTGAGCATACACACACAAATTTTGTCCCTATATTCCCAGTTCTATAGTAATCAGATAAACTGATTATAACAAATTTGCGTGTTTATAGTAAGAGGAGTCCATTGTTAGTAGCAATCAGCCCACAGTTTATAGATTCAGAATTTGCACAAACTAGGGTTGCCATATATCTGGAATTTCCCAGACATAGCTGGTATTCAGCCCTCGTAAACAGCATCCGGGCAGAAATTGAGTTTTTCTGAGATTTTGCAAAAAAAGTTCAACAACTTTGGGAATCCCCACCCCCTTTTTAGGAATATGGCAACCTTAGCGCGTGCACACACATACACACAGAGCACTTTTATCCTCAGTTGACATCCAGTGCTGACAGGAGGAAAGTGGCAAGTGGGGGGGAGACATCTGCACTCCTCACCCATGGATCCCTTCAGCAGTTAAGAGTTGACTCCCTGCCCCGGTTTCTACAAGATTAGGAACAACCTGCCAATTTCCTTACGGGGTACAGATTAGAAAGTGTGAGAGAGGATAAGATACTGCAATATATTTGGGTGTTTCAGCTAAAGGTATCAGTATATGCAAACGTTTGCAGTTATATTCAACACAAGTCCTAAGAACTGAAATTCAGGACCAGATTTAAACAACAGTGGATTAACAAGAGATTCTTAGCTTCATGAATCATTAAAACAATGGCAAGCACCCGATGTTTAACTTTTTCCAAACTGTTTGCTCTAAGGATGTACTTATGTGTGGAAATATTTGCATATATTTTGTATCTTCCCTAGTAATCAAGCACTGTGGTTTTGTATATAGACTGCAGTGAATTTTTGCTAAGTGTGTGGATGCATGGGTGATTAAACGTGTATGGTTACATAGCTGCAGCACAGTGTAATTATTTACTGTGACACCTGAAAAATGAAGGGTTTGATGTAACTTGAAACCTCATATTGTTGTATTCCAACAGCAGTAGGTCAAGATTTGAAAGAAACCAGAGCAGCTCATTCCTTTATACCCTTTATATTTTGGCGCCTGTTCAGGGATAATCTTGTCGTGCCAATAAAATATTTTGTGTGTTTTTGTTCAGTAATGTGAAGGAGAATCAGGGGAAAGAGGTGGGTTATAGATTGGGAGCTCTCAGTTTTGCCTGTTCTGCTTCTCACAACATGAATAAAATAATATTAACCTAACCCTCTTTTCACTACATGCAGATAAAACAAGCTCTCTATTGCACAATTTCATTGTTTGCTAGCAGAGAAGACCTAATGCTTCCTTCTAGTACAGGGTTTGCCAACTGTTTGGGGCCAGTGGGTACTTTTGAAATGTTGGGTGGCAGTCACAAAATGGCTGCCATGACATAACACAAAATGGCTGCCACTTATCAAAGAACAGAAAAAGAGGCAGGAACAGGAACACTAACTAGTGAATGTAGGGCCGCCATACATCAGACACAGCTGGGATTTGGCCATCAGAAACAGGGCAGAATTGCTTTTAAAATGTGTGGGTGAATCCAGATGTATGGCAGCCCATGTTGGAAGTGTAGATTTTGGTGAATCTCCTAAAAAAATAGCTTACAAACTAAATCCCCCCCTCAAGATTTTGCAAAGAAAAGCTCAACTTTTGTGCCCAGATTTTCACTTCTTGAAATATGGCAACCTAAGTGCAGACATCAGTGGGGGAAGGCACCTACACCAGCCATGTTCACTCACAGAGAGAAGCTCCTTTCACCTCTTGGTTCAGAACTGATGCATGGGTGGGTATTCAGTCCTGGCATCCAGTCAAATGTGGGCATGTTGAAGAGGGCATGTTTAATGTAGAAGAAACTGAGCCAGTGCAAACAGGAGCTGAGTAGGAAAACAGTTTCTCATACACTGTGGATTTTTCATGGAATGTTTACTAAGACTTACACGGGCACCATAGCAGGTACCGTTGGACACACGTACACCTGCATGTGCCACGTTGCTGACCCCTATTTTATTGGATTAGCAATAATACTGATCTTCAGCACTTTTCAAATGCCCCCCTCCCCAGCCATCCCAGGGACCTCAATGTGGAACTGGTTCCTCTCTGAAAAGACTCAAGAAACTTTGCTGCCTGAGGTAGATTAACAAATGGGGCTTCCCTCCCTAAGGCAAAGAGCATAGTATACAAGGCTGGCCAAGTTATTTTGGCACCTGAAGTAGAAAAGCTCACAAGCACTTCTCCCTGGGAGTAAAAATACAATAATCATTCAAACACCTCACATTTTGCTGCCCTTTCATGACAACCGTAGCTGCCTGAGGCAGCCACCTCACTCTTCCTATTGGTAGGACTGGGCCTGACACCTCTTGGGGCCCTTTGTGTTTGATATTCTTCATTACTGCTTTGTCCCAGAGGATCCTTGTTTTTTGTTTTTTTTAAAGGTCTAGGTATTTATGTAGCCCAGAGCTGTTAAGTTCTGCCAGTTCACTTGCCTATATTGAAACCCAAAGCGCTACTACCTGTGTACCAAGATATTGCCAGGCCAATATCATGCACAGCCACAAAAACGTTCCCCCCACCTTCAACGTCCATTCTGTGGAGGACTGGTTAATGCTAGTTAATATTTGGTTTGGTCTTCTAATATTATAGTAAAGCGATAGCCTGGGCACCACCAACTCAAAAATCTGCTGTATTTCAATCCTTCCCTTCCTTCAACGTCCACTCAGAGGAGCTAACCAAAGGATTGTTTTGTTTCTGTTGGGTCTGTGAGGCAATTTGCAACGAAAGAGGCTTATACATTGCTTAACAAGAGGCTTGTGCAAACACTTTCTCTTGTGCCCCTGTTGTGTTGACAGGACAGTGAGAAAGCATCATGCTTCTCCCAAGGGAACGAAGCAGCTAAAATCCTGCTAGAGACAGCATACCTCTTCCTGGGCCTGAGGAATTGTGCTGGCATGTGGAACAAACACAGGGAACAGAGAGCATGTAAAAGCAGGGGAAAACATGAGGCCCTTTTCTGATTTCACACAGCCTTTGCTACCACCAGCCAGCTATTCTGAAGAGGGTTGTTTCTGTGTTCTTACAGCAGCAGGCCAGACAGTGCGGTGGGAAGGTTTGAAAAGGATTAGATAAAGGGAATATTCACAAATTCATCATGGCCTTCCAATACTGTGAGAATAACTCAGGGCAGGAACAGGAACAGGAACAGCACATTCCATTTTGCTGCTCCTGCTCCCCCGCTGCTGGCGCCACAGCTCTCTTACCTGCATGACGCAGCAGCGCCCACAAAGCACCAGCAGTGGTGCCAGCTTCTGGCAAGATCTCATCAGAAACCAGTGCCACTTTTCCACTGGCAGCAGATGCAGCAGGGAGCGGGAAGGTGCAGCAGAGGCAACGTGGGTGCTGCTTCTTGGGCTTCTGCTGCTTGAGGCAGCACCTTGCCTCTTCAGAGGGCCAGGCCTAGGCAGGAATTCCATTTCTCTCAGGACCCAGCATAGGGCAAAATTTGCCTTTCTGCTTCTGCATCTTGGCAGTGATTTGTATTGTGTTTCAATCCAACAAAACTCCTTGGTCCCTCTGGCAATTGAGGACAGTGATTATTTGGGAGGTTGTGGAAGCAGGATAGGATTCCCAGCACAACGGAATAAAAATCCTCCTTCTACATTATAGGTTTTCCTGAGCAGGCTTCATGCTGTTTTCTCTTCCGTGCAGTACTTGAATCCCATCCAGGAATGAGGCAAAATTATTCTGTAATTTACTTTTGTGCCAAGAGTGCCAGCTCTGAACGTATTCCAGGGGTCCATTAATGCAAGCTTTATTTGCTTCTGTCAAGGGCACTTCAGAGCTGATGCCACATAAACATTGTGCTGCAGGCAATCCCTGGCCCCATCATGAAATCTGGCTCGGAAGAGAGGAAGGAATTAGAGTAAAGGCCAGGCACCTTTCTTTCTTTTCTTTTCTTTTTTGTACAGGAATCCTTTGCTAAGAGAAGTTTTTACCACTGGTGCAGCAATCCTTCATTTAGCCCCCAACTAAAATAACATAAGGACATAGAAAAGAGCCTGCTGGATCAGGCCAATGGCCCATCTAAGTCCAGCATCCTGTTCTCACAGTAGCTAACCAGATGCCTCTGGGAATCCTCTAGACTAGAGACTTTTAACCTCTTGATCTCTATAGATGTTTGCTTTGATTTCTTGATTGCTGTTAGTATCTACTCACTATAGCACTAATATAGCCTAGGGTGGCCATGTGTCCTCCTTTACAAAAGACAGTCCACTATTTGAAGGACAGACAGAGGGCAGTCCTCTGTGGAACAGTGTCCTCTATTTGAAGTGCTGTCCAGTCCAAGAACCCTAGGAAGGGAGAGCACCAGGGGACATGAAATTGCCCATCAAGCCTCTCAGACAGCAGACTAATCACACACACGGGTCTTTCTCACAGCCTTCCCCACTATGATCAGATATATTGTGTTATATTTAATTTATAGCAATTATTTCTAAATTTGCATCTATAAAAATTTTATGCAAATCGCCACCTCTTTTGTCTTGTTTTCTGGTGATTTATAAATGGCCACCCCTCATGCAGCACCCAAAAGTGGGAATGAGTAGGGTTGCTGCAGCAAGGCTTGATGAAGTTATAGGGTAATCAATTACAACTTTTTTTAAAAAAAGAATGAGTATATCAAGATTAATCAAGACCTTAAAAACTGAGAGAAAGTGAAAACAGCAAAAGGCGGAAGGATGGGCAACTAATGGTGAAATGGAATTGGAGGCAGCAGGAAATCACAGCCACCCCCATTATAAGATATTGATCTTCATGGAAACTCGGACAAACGGTGGTTAGGAAAGATCATTCCATCCATTACATTCCAGAGTAAAGTTCTGTTCGCAGCAGCAGCACTCCCTGTTACAATCTTTAACTATCTGTCTCTTTGCACATTGTTGACCTGTGGTGGAGCATGCTTTCAGAGATTTGCTTACGTAGGTACTTCCTCCTCTCAAGGTTATGGGGTTGTTCCTTGAGTTTCTGAGTAGAGCTATATTTGATTGCACACAATCAGCCGCTGAAGGGTGCACATTAAAAAAGAGAGAGAGAGGAAGAAACTGAACTTCCTTTATGCTGTTGCAAAGTAGCCAATTGCCTTAAAGGAGAATATCCGTATCCTGGGAGGCTCAGGGCCTTCTTGGCATGACAGTATAAGTCCAGCAGGTCCCTGGCAGGGCCTCTTAGCCAGCTTAGCCCTCCAAGGCCTATGGCAAGTGTACCCAGCTGCCTCCCACCTCTGCATGGGCCTGTCCATAGCCTTGTTGTATGTAGTTCCCTAAGGAAAGGAAAACCTCTGGCCTTCCACATATTGCTGGACTGACTACAACTCCCATAATCCCAGATCATTGGCTAGGTCTGTCCTCCAAGACCAGCTCTCCAAATAATAGTCAGGGCAAATGCATAGCTCCATCCTGAGGCAGATGTGAATGCGCAGAGCTATTTTGTACAGAGGATTTTTTGACTGAGCCATACATAGTTACTGAGGATCCAGAGCCTTATCAAACATACCACATATGCATAGCATATATACAGTTTTATACCAGGAGTGGGAACCTGTGGCCTTCTAGACATTGCTGGACCCCAACTGCCATAACTCCAGCTGAAAAGACCACCAGCTCCTTATTCTTAATTTATATATTAGTTCTGAAAACTAATACTACTGAACAGACGTGATGCTCAACAGTGCAAATCTTTGCTCAAACTTTCATTTCCCCATAAACAGCCCTTCCTCTGTTTCCTTCCCAACTCCACAGCTTAATCCTCGCAGCTTCATTTAGTACATACTAGAAATGTTGATGTTTCCCTGTGGATTTCAAGAATTAATACATAGTTAATGTCTTTTTCTGGCTGTGTTAGCAGCTTGATAGACAGCAGGTGAATTATATACTGTTTGGAAGAGTGAGAATCACAGAAGGGTTTGAGATACCCTAGACAGGCTTCCTTATCACATTTGTGTAGAGTAGAGAATAAAGCAATGCCTAGCATGAAAGAGAGTGTAAACATGACAATACACTCTTGGTAAGTCATGTGGTTCCATGTAATCATTTCTTAAATGTCTTATAAAGGGCTGCACTGGCTGTTGTTTGTCTTCATTCAGTGCATCACTGCCAGACCTACCTGATTCCTTGTGCTGCTCTGTCCTAAGTGGATCATCTAATATATTTTAAAGACAGATTTGACAGTTGTAGCAAGGGCAGGAGCTGTAGCTCAGCAACAGAGCCTATGTGTTGCATGTAGAAGACCTCTGGAGCAAGCCCCAGCATTCCCTGTTATAGACAAGGAAAGATCTTTGCCAAGATCCCGGCGAGCTAGCACTAGGAGTAATAGCAGGACTCTGTGTAAGGCAACAGCTTTATATATCCATGCTATAGCTAACCTTCTACATCAGGAATGAGGAGCTGCCCAGTGAATCATCACCAACTTCACCTGCTCGTCTTTCGTTTCCCATTCTAATAACAATTTATACATTCTGGAACTTACTTTGTTGTTATTCCCTAGTAATTCTCAAATTGCGAGGTTTGATATGGAAAAATTGATCCTTTTTATCTTCCTTAAAGACTTCATTGAGTTGAAAATATTGTAACCACTCTGTTATTTGTTGACCTAACTCTTCAAACCTCTTTAATATAAGTTCACGGTCTTTTTCTTTTAATAAATCCTTATATGTCACCCAGCCCCCTCTCACCTTCTTTCCCCCCACTGATATTGCTTCAAGTGGGGAAAGCCACCATGTTTTTGCCTAGCACCTAAATTTGGAACAAGGGGGTTGCTAATATCTTCTATGGGGAACCTATTAAAAAAATAGTTGTGACTTGCTTGAGAACCTCAGTGTCAGGGCAAAGTCCTGGACAGTGGTATTTGGCAAGTAAATGTGTTTATGGAACCATGGGATTGGAAGGAAACAAAAATATGACCACCCCCATGTAATCCACAATTCCGTGTACCAGAAGCAGAGAGCAGGTACATTGCAGAAAGATGCGTTCTGACCTTATAGTTTCAGATGGGGGTAGGGGAGAGTTTTAAGCAACGCAGGAATCTGCCTTACACTAAATCAAACTATTTATCCATCTATGTCACTATTGGCCACTTTGACTGGTAACAGCTCTGCAGGGACTCCAGCAAAGGGACCCCACATCACATGTTGTCTGCTCCTTCTAGCTGAAGATGCCAGGGATTGAACCTGGAACCTTCTTCATGAAAACCTATGGTCCCTCTAAAGTTTTGGCTACGTTCCAGGCCATTTTAATCATCAAGATTGCATGGAGTGTGGTGCGTTGCATGGTGAAGGGGATTCCTGAGGTCTTATCAGGCGCAGTCACAGACTTCCAGTGTGAGTTTAGGTGAGTTTCTTTCAATGCATCTTTTTCTCTCTCACTCATTACAAGGAATAACGGAATAATCCACACCATGGGGCCAGTCTCAGGTCCTTGTCCTGCCAACAAATTTTGTCATTTTCTATAGGAGCTCTGGGTAAAGTGTCTGAAGCAGGGATACCCAGATATGTAGAGAAAGGGAAACAATACAGACTCCAAGAACAAGAAGCCAGTGTCGATTTCTGGAAACAGAGTGATAATCCTGGGAGTTGTGCAGCCACAGGACGAACCTCCTGTTCATTGCTTTTTTGCCAGGAAGAAAGGAACACATTCAGAATTTTTATAACTCCATCACAAGAAAACCAATTTGGTGCAGTAGGCCCTGTTTCTTTCATATGAGTGAAGCAGCCTGAATGACAGGGAAAGGAAGCAGTGTACAGGGTTTTTCCTTTGGAATGGATCCAGGGTTCTTCCTTCCCTCCCTCAAAAATAACAGATGCCAGACGTGTCTGCCTGGGCAACAGCCAACCCCTGAGGCATGGGACCTATCAACAGGGTGGTGAAGGTTTATGGATCTCAACACAAAAGGCTGGCAGCCACCACAGTGTCCACGCACCTTGCTCTGGAGCAGCCACTCTCTAGTATAGTCCAGAGCTCCACCAGACCAGAAAAAGGTGGTGTCTCTTCAACAAAAAGAAAGGGACAGCATTTATAAACAATGGCTGAATACCTGAGCCCAGTGCTATTTTTCTAGAAAAAGAGGTGCCGGAATTCAGCATGAACACTTCCCTCGGTCTCTTAGAATGGCAATGGCCCCACCTGAGAGGTGCCAGAACTGAGTTGGGCAAGTTCCGGCTGAAAAAAAGCCCAGGCTGGACCACTCAAAATCCTCTTTCAGATGTGGGACAAATGTGCACATTATTGGCAAGGGTTATGAGTCATCCTTGAAGCAGTAAGACTGGCACAAAAAACGGTGTCTGTAAATGACTGATGGGGTTGTGGTATGAATCTTCAGTAGTAATACCTCATAGGTGCATTTCATGGTATTTTGGCCAGAAATGTGTAGATTTCTGAAGGAACAGCATGATGGCTAAAATCCTAACGCAACATACCTGGGAGTAAGCCCTGTTGAATTCATAGGACTGGCTTCTGAGAATACATGATTAGGGTTGTGCTATATGGTTGCTATCTAACCCCAGATACCATTTGTTTAAAACAAATGCGCTCCTTCACATTACTATTTCTTTGTCTGTCCTTTTGATATTGTCAAAATTATGAGGACAATTGGGCCACTCAGTTCCAATGGTCATGTTCACCACCTCACACGATTCTATTATGGGTTGTATGAAATATATGTCACACTTTGGTTACTTACCACT